CCAGAAAAAAACTGGAACTAAGTAAAAAAAAGTAGTTGCATCATTTTTTATCTTATTCTTCCATGCATTTTATTGGTCAACTATACATCGGCTGGGCTGGCCTACAGAAGTACAGGTCAACCTTCGACCCGCCCACCTGTCTGGCCGATAGGTCGGGGTCATCCCATATCACTAAATTTGACCTCTGATATTTTATAGCAATTTAGAGAAGAATTGGTATCTAATTTTTGGTTGATAGTTAAAGATATAGTTTATAGTTAAAAAATTATAATTGAAAAAATTTTTGATACAAAGTATATAAGTTTGTAAAAATTTTTATAAATAAAATTATATAATAATAAAATTTTAAGTTATATTTTTTATTAAAAATATATAATTATATACAACTATTATAATACTATCATTTTATTATAACTATATTAATACCAAGAAACTAGAGTAATATAAAATTAAACAATTAAAATAACATCAAAAAACCAGAACACCAATAAACTAAACCAGCACCAAGAAAATAGAATGATATGAAGAACTAGAAACATCAAGAAAACACTAATAAAAGAAAAGGTAAACAGATTGTAAAAGGAAAAATATATAAAAAAATCAAAAAAAATGAAAAATGAAAAAAGATTAAGAAAAACAAAAAATGAACATGCTATTGTATGTTCTGGATCATAAATTTCAACAATATGATTGTAAACCAAATTCCTGCATATTATTATTATGTATTGTAAATCCAGGAACTCTAATTTGAACACAATTCTGCAAATCCACTGCACCAATATGATTTTCCCAATGATTGTCCTAAAATAAGATGCCAATTCCCCTCCGAATTGCTATATAAATTTTAGAGGCTGAATAATAAGTGGAAATTGGGTCGTTTTTTTTATATAAATGATTTTAGGTTTTTTTTAGTTCGACATTTATTAACATTCGACTAAGTCGATTTTCAGATGTTTACCAGTGAATCGCTTTGTCACAATATCCAACCAAATGCAAAGTTTTGCATATATGATATTCTAGATGACTGTAAACCAAACACTTCGTTATTTCAAAACTATGTTCTAATACTAATACTAAATCAAAAAACAAAAAAAGCTATAATAGATAATTTTTATAGTTTAATAGATAAAAACTCCTAAGCCGTTCAAAGTTGAATAATTGTTTAATATTGGTTGCACATCGGTTTTCTGTGCCAGGTTATGTCGACTATTACAGATTAACATTGAATAACTCAAGATCCTACTAATCTAACTATGGTTTGGCTTCTAAATAAATAAATTATAGCTTGAAAAATTTAAAACATATAGTTTTAAATATCAATCAAAATAAATAAAGGCATGTGCTATATTTTAACGTTTAGACTCTTTTAACCTGACGTTGATGGCCAACATTACCTGGCACAGGAAACTGACGTGCTTCTTGATCAATAGTCCCTCTGAAATTTAGCAAGCTAATTACAACACAGAATAATCTTCAACAATCATGGATTGGCATATGCATTTGTGACTGAGCTCAAAATATTGACGTTAAATAACTAACCAACTTTGCGGTGCTCGATCGTCCAATATGAAATATATTATTTGAGTTATAAATTAAAATTGAACCTAGAAAATCATCGAAAATAAATTGTTGTGCCCATGGAAGATTCTCATCTGATTAAGATTCCCAAATTTCGCCCGATATAATTTCATCTCTATGAATTGAATCATAAACTTGATAAATATCAGGTCGATTATTTGGATCGTGATCCCAGCATTTCTTATAAAGTTCAACGAAAGAGCGAGTAGATCCAGCAACTGGTTTTTCCCGTTCTCCGTCTATTCTCTTCATCATTGTCGCAATATGATTACACTCTATTTGTGTTTTTTGGCCATTGCTCGAAATTTCCCAAAATATTATACCAAGGCTATATATGTCGGATGGATAATTATATATCTGTCCAAATTGTTTGTTTAATAGATTTAAAATATAAGGATCCATAAAGTTTATTTGACATTGTATTCCCTGATGCGATATGCTATTGCGAGAAACAACCTTAGAGAATCCAAAATCAATGATAATTACTCTAATGCCATCTTCGAAGCTTTCATCACTTTTAATGACTATATTTCCGGTATGCTAATATGACATAGATTTTTCGTTATAATCATTAAAAATATTAATTTTTGATCAACAAAAA